TGCAATTCTTTGTAAAGACATTGATAGCACCTATATTTGGATTTAATATTTGTTTCATACTTTTAATTCAATTATATTATAAATATAAATATCATACGAAATACACATTTACTTTTATTGATGTTTTATTCTAAATAAATGTTTAACTTTTAGATTCATTATCTTATTTAGATTTTTATTTCAAATATTTTACAATTAATTAATAAAATTGTTTTCATTAATAGTGTTATTATTATTTGAAAAACAAAATGAAATTAAAGAGAGAAACGGAAATTTCTAAACAATTGAAATTCAATACAATTTTTAATGAAAGTAACTTTGATTTTGATATAAATACGTGGTTTTTATCAATAATTCAATTCAGTAGCGAACCTCACGATAGCGTCGGTCCCTTTGAGGCGGTCTATAAGTGCGGCGAATAAACTCATCCACATTTCGATCGTGCTATTTATTCATAACATTCAATCAATATAAGCATTTAGTCAACATTTGTTTCGATAATATTTACATTTCTATCCATTAGTCGTGGTTTTGGTGGCAAATCCAGTCTCTGTTGGAACGGCGGCTCAATGAATGGGCGCTAAAAACAGTGACAGTTATAAAACAGGTCTAAATAAAGCCTTAAAAAGGGTTTACTTGAGAGAATGGAGGCATAGGAGGCGCGAGATTTCGATGAAAGTTTGGATTATTTCCGTTTACCATAAATTCTCGGCGCGGAAGCGGTCTCTGAATTAGGCGTTCGTTACGGACTACTGAAAGAATTGTATTAAAAAACTATAGATTATAAGACAATGCGTTCGTTACCATCTCTAATATCCCTTCGAGGCCCGAGTGGTCCGATCGGAGGCAATGGCTGTCCCATACGTTTTCTTCTATTCAAATAGTAATCAAATAAATGAATTAAAGAAAAATAAGTAATAAAAAATCAATTATAAAAGTAAATTAATTACTGAAAATTGATTTGAGGCGAAGGAAACGAGTGATTGGGCACCGGATTTGGTCGCTCTCTATTGCGGAAATCAATTCTTGAGCTAATGTTTGGTTTATTCCTTTCATTGAAATCCATAAATGGTCCGCGAATTCGATGACTTCTCGGTCTGTGAGCCGTCTGTTTCTTCATTCGCTTTAACATAGGAATCAATTCCACGGTTTCGTCCGATGGAAATAAACGACACAATTCTTCGCCCACTCGCGGATCGATTTCCTGTCAACAAATGGCAAACATTTAATATAATCGTCAAACAGTAAACACTATGAATGATATACCTGTCCGTCGCGTGCAATCTTCACAGGTTTTCCGTCATTGAATGGATTAAAGAGATGAAGTGTTTTCGTAAAAGAAAGTTCTCGTCGACAAATCCAGTCGAGATAGAAGACGCCTCCCAGGGCTCGAGCGTTCAATCCATGGGGTAATACCCATTGGATTGGTTGCGAATCATGACGTGATTCCGACGCGAGTCTCGCAAAACCTATGAATCAAACGGTTAAACTCAACAAATCAAATGATGGTCACAAATGCAAACCTTGAAATTTGCCGCTCTCTTTGACTGAGAATATAAGGATAACATTACGAAACTCTTTGAAAGCGCGATTCAATTTGGTTTCGTTCTGAGGGGGTGTCGACCAAACGCCCTTCGCTTTCGATAGAACCACATTCTCGTGATTATTACTCTTCATTACGAAAAAACAGCTGTCTTTGAAGAAGTATCGCAACAGTGAGTTTGGATCACGTCTTCCAACACTCTGACTATGACTCGAACGACGCCTTCGTTTCGACTTTCCTGTAAACAAATGTTTACTATTTATATTACGGTAAAAAGTTACCAAATAATGCATACGTCTGTCATCGGCTTCAGACCGCCATCTCTTCTTAGACTCTCTATTAGATGGACTCAATGATCGGGCGGTTCGATGTCCTCCGGACTTGTTTTTAGCTGTTAATCATATCTCTATTATAAGCAAATATTTTTCTAAATGTATTCATGACTTACGACTTATTGAACGCGAAGACGAATGTGAGGATCGGTTACCATTTGATACAATACTGCTGTGATCTTCACAGGAACACGAAGAGTCGTGCGAAGAGCTGTACTCTTCACCACAATTATTAATATTCTTGGGCGCCATTTCACTGGTCGGCTCATTGTTAGGCTTAGGCTGTTATTTAAATCGTGTTAATTTCATTATCAGTTTAAATAAATTCATATCAATTGTGATAATTACAGATATCTTTTTATGACTTGTACTCTCTTTGATCAACTCATTCGCAACCGATTTAATTGACTTTTTTGATACTAAAAATAATATTTAAAAATTAAACATTTGGATCTCAATGTAAGAGCAATACAGACCTTCTGTGGCAGAATCTCTTTTAATGTCTTGGTTCTGATGTCTAGATTGCAACTCATTTTTAGAACTTTTGGAAACTTTGGACTTCTATTAAAATTAATAGTTTAGTGATTAGAATAATTAGACTTAAATATAATTAAAATTGAGATAAACCTGTTTTAGTGTTACCGAAGAGTTTAGTTTTGGACATTCTTTCGAATTGACGGCTTTCACAACACTTGACGTTCTTTTGCCTAAAATAATAAAATGTTATTTACATTCAACTAAATGCCGGTAATTATGATAAACAATAGCTTTTAAACAATGTATAGAACTTATTTATTATTAAAGACAAATTGTCTTACTTTTAAGCCTTTTCTCTGATCGAGTGAACTCCACATCCAAATCGTCGTCTTCTGGAGTATCCAAGAGCTGATCCAACACATTCCTCTCTTCGTTGCGTACCATTACTACTATTGAATTGTTTAAAGAAATCGATTAAAACAAATACAATAAATAAGCAAACATTGTAACCATAAAACTGAACGCATGTTTGTTTAGTATAACATTTAAATAAGAATTCAAAAAATAGTAATAAAATTGACAATTTTAATGAATATTCAATTAGTGATCAAATTATCAACACTTAACACAATATCAACGATAAACATAAGTATAAAAAACAGTTTTAGAGTCAAATCAATGGATTGAGTTTTCATTGTCACACACGACTAGTACTCAGACCAGACAATAGCCTTCTTATTGCGATCAGTACTCATGAGTAGAGAGCCATTAGGACTCCAACAACAGGCGATTACAGTAGAGTTGTGTTGATCTTTGAGTGTCTGTTCGAGTTTGCCGTTCTGTGCATTCCATATAAAGACCGACGAGTCCTGACTTCCGGCCACAATGTATTGACTATCGGGACTAAACTTACAGCGACTCCAATCACAGCCGACTTTAAAGCCTTCGGCACAGAAAGTTCTTATGACCTGATTTTGTCTGAGATCTAAACACTTGAGCGAATCGTCGCGAACACAACTCAGCAGATAATTGCCATCGGGAGAGACATCCAAAGCGGTCACCTTTCCCTGCAATAGGATCTCATTGGCACTCGAATCAGACCGAGTGTCCCAAAAGCGGATCCTCTTATCGAAGTGAGCGCTCGCGACCACCGCTTCCTTCGACTCAAGAGTCACTAAATCATTACAAGAAGAGCCGGCAAATAGGGTGCGAATACACGCGTGTCGGTTGAGGTCCCATATCTTGAGTGTGCGGTCATGACTACCTGACACTACTTTGTTTGAACCCAAGAACTTAACGGCCAGTACTTTGTTGGAGTGACCCGTGAGAGTGCGCCTGAGCTTCATATCACTTAGAGTCCAGACACGACTCGCGAAGTCATTAGAAGACGCTAACAACAGGTCCTGATCTAAGTCTATAGAAGTGACCGCAGCGTTACTACCCGTAAGTGTGCCCTTCAGTATAGCCACTGAAGAATTCTCACTGATTGCCCACATTTTAATCTTACGGTCGGCACCACCGGTGGCCACCACTTCCCCATTCGGACTCCATTTGATTGCATTCACCTCTCCTTCATGTGCTTCAAACTGAAGCATAACTCGATTCGGGATTCGAGTGCAGACATAGAGTGGATCACAGATTGCCTGATGAGCGTCAGGAGGAATGTCGTCTATTTTTCCGGGTCCGGCACTCTCTTTGGCCGCCTCTTCCAGTTGTTGTCGCAGTTTGTCGTTCTGTATCTTCAATGCCTTATCGTTCTCTTCGTTCAGCTTTTGGGCGTCTTTTGCCTTCAAAGACATCCATCGGTTGACGAGTTCTAAGTGTTCGCGATCTAAAGTCGAGTACTTCTTCTCGAGACAAGTGAACGCCATTTGGAGCGCCTGGTGTTCGTCCCGTAACAGCTGACCAGAGCTCTCCATCTCCACAATCCTCTGCTCCAAAGCAGTGCAAACGCCCGAAGAGTTGTGCAGCAATTGTTCCGTTTGTGCCAACTTCTCGGCCAATTGGTTGCGCTCCTTGTCTTTCGACTCAATGGTATTCTTGAGATCAATGATAGTGTGAGTGTTGTTGCCATTAGTTCTGTGCAATTCAGTCAACTCTGTCTGCAAATCAAACAACTTCTTCTCCAATACTTTGCCATTTGAGTTATTAATGCTATTGTTGTCCGACTTGTGGCACAATTGAGTGGTTTGTGTCTTCAACTCATTCCTCTCTAACAGGAGTTTCTCCTTTTCAATCAAAAGCAAAGAGTTGTCATTTCTGAGTGAATCCACTCTTTCGGACAAATGGCTACAGAAGTCGATCACAGATTCAAATGGCTTTTGTTCAACACTTTTCCTGGCATTCAATTGCCTTAATATGGATTCTCGCCATCCATTTGATGGCAACGAAGACATTGTTGTCATTAATTATTATTTCAAAACAAACCTTAAGTTTATCTCAAAAAGTAAAGTCAAAGAGAAATAAAAGTCAAAACAATTGCGGATTTGAAATACAAATCAATTGAACGCTAATTGAAATCAAAAACAAATCAAACAAATGGTTAACAAAAGTCACATCACATGAGAGGATGAGATGACAATCGGATCACTGATTGCTTATTCATATTCAAGTCATTGTTCAACACATTTAGTCTGTGGTTACAAGTGATGACCGAATTGACCACAAAATCAATTCATTCATTCATTTAGTGTCCAAAACAAGAGTCAAAACAGTGACACAAAGAGAGACAAACCTTTAAACTCTGTTTCCCGAGAATTCATTACACAATACTATTCTTACTATGGTTTGAGTCAATACACACTCAACTCATCACTAAATCAATTCAATTTCTTTCAAAGCATCGATTGTTTTGTTAACAATTAAAATACAAACCAATCAATGAGTGACTGATTGTTATTGCGCTCACATTTCACTCAATACAATCGCTAATACATTAAACATGGCTTTCAATACAGGCTTACAAAGGGTAGGGGTGTTTGCAGTGATCGTATTAAAAGCCCTCCCCATTCATTGCCGCTATTTTCAAACATTTGATTAATCATTGGTTTTAATTATAATTGAGTTTATTATACATTATATGGTGTATTGAAATATGATATTGAAAATCATTTTATTGAAATACAATTAAATTACAATAAAATAATTAAATTAATAAAACAAAAAATAAAATAATAAAATGAAGTTATAAATAGTTAGATTACATTAATTTATAATAAAATACATTTATGTTATAACTTATATATAATTTTTACAATATATTTGTATATATTATGAGTTATTATCAAATGTTTATAAGTTTTAATTCATTATAAATTTTTTATAAA